TTTCTCTGTTTCTCTCCCAAATGTAGGTGATGGTCAAGAGGATGAGAACTACCAGAAGCTATTTCTTGTGCCATGGGAAGTTAAGGAGCCGGAGGACGTAAAAGAGATATTTGGAATTATCTCAAAGACTCACATGAAAAACCCATTCAAATCCTCCGTTTCTCAGGAGTCATTTACTGAATTAAAGAAATACAGCATAATCCAGTCAGGATCAAAACAGTATCAAGGCGTGGATCTTGGAGACCATTCCAGGGATAGTGGAACATTTTCTGGTCAAAGTAAATGTATGATATATGGCAAGAGTTTCATCTTTAAGTCTACTCTTGCTTTATTTCAAAGAACTCACAAAAGAGCGAAACCATATAAATGCCTGGAGTGTACAAAGTGCTTCAGTCAGAAAGGGGGCCTTAGACTGCATCAGAGAACTCACACAGGGGAGAAACCGTACAAATGCATAGATTGTGAAAAGAGCTTCAGTCACAAAGGGGACCTTAAGCGTCATCAAAGGATTCATACAGAGGAGAAACCATATAAATGTATGGAGTGTGGAAAGAGTTTCAGTGAGAAAGGGACCCTTAGGCTGCATCAGAGGACTCACACAGGGGAGAAACCATATAAATGCATGGAGTGTGGCAAGAGCTTCATTCACAAAGGGGCCCTTAGGCGGCATCAAAGAACTCACACTGGGGAGAAACCATATCACTGCATAGAGTGTGGAAAGAGCTTCCTTCAGAAAGGGGATCTTAGGCGGCATCAAAATATCCATTCAGGAGAGAAACCATATAAATGCACAGAGTGTGGAAAGAGTTTCAGTGAGAAAAGTATTCTTATGGGGCATGAGAGGATTCATACAGGGGAGAAACCATATCAGTGCCTGGAGTGTGGAAAGAGCTTCAGTCAGAAAGGCTACCTTAGACAGCATCAAAGTATTCACACAGGGGAGGTACCTTGGAAATGCATGGAGTGCGGAAAGAGCTTCAGGCAGAAAGGATGCCTTACACAGCATCAAAGGATTCACATGAAGGAGAAACCATATAAATGCATGGAGTGTGCAAGCGGTTTCACTCAAAAAGGGGCCCTGAAGCTACATCAAATGATCCATACAAAAGAGAGACCCTATAAATGCATGGAGTGTGGAAGGAAGTTCAGACACAAAGGGAGCCTGAAGAAGCATCAAGGAATCCACAAAAGGGAGAAGCCATAGAAACGCACAGAATGTGGCAAGAACTTCAGATAGAAAGCAACTCTTAGGCTGCATCAAAGAACTCACA